CATACGGAGGCGTCTGCGCCGAGTCGGCCTGCACACGCAGCCCCCGGGGGTCAGTCGGCCACGCCACGCCCCCGCCACGCCACGTCACGCCACGCCACGCCACGCCCACCACTGCCGGCCCTGTCATTACGCGCGCTACTCTCGCCTCGCCTCCGCTACTTTGGCCGGAAATGGACGCGCTCATTTTTGTCGGGAATGATGCATGAGACGGGTTGGCGGGCTCACAATGGAAGTCAAGGAAAAGATAGGGGGTGTGGCGGGGTATTGGTCAACCCTCCCTGCCTACGAGTTTGCTAATGCGCAGCCAACATAACAGCGCAAACTTTTCGACGTCGGATAACGAAATTCCTGAATTTCTTTTATTATTTTCCTGAAACCAACCCACGCTATTATTGCGGCCAGGACGGAAACAGGTGCTCGAGGTGCCCCCCCTTACCGAGGGTCGAGGGGGACTGAAGCAAGCCGACACAGAGCGAGACAATGGTTTCGTTTTGCCTCTGCGACGCAGTAATGTGTGTGTTAAGCCCCGGTGTTAGGGCTTAACTTTGTTTATTTGTGTTCATTTTTCCCGAGGAAGCGATCTCGTGTAATGCCGTATACTGGTGTTGTTGGTGGTGGTGGTAGCAAGGCCACATTGGCCGCATGCATTAAACAACCGGATTTGCATTTTTCGACCAGTTGGGCGGTGGCTGTGCGCGGCGCAGACCAAAGCGCCCGCTTCCACATACACACACACACGCACACACACACGCACAGCGGCGTAGCGAGCCCGACTTGCGGACGGGATAATACAACCAGCGTTTTGGCTCAGGAAGGACAAAAACATGCAAAAAAACGCCGAGCCCCCCCCCCCCCCGTGCTATATAGGGGAGACGCGGTGAGAAGGGGGGAGGGGGTCACACAGCCTGCGCTGGTAGAGACAGTCTTGGGGACTGGCTAAAAAAAGAAGGGGCTGATGAGGATCACGCGAATCTGCCGGGCGTGTTGTTGATGTTGTCGCTGACCCGCAATATGCATTGCTAAGTAATGGGAATGGGCGAGAAACGCGTGTGTAGGATGGCGTGTTTGACACCGACTAAAGCTCCGGTGGATGGGGTGTCTGTTGTTCAATGGCTGCTGTTTGTTCGCGTATTTTAACGTGTTGCCGTTATGGTTTGGAGGCCTCTGGCTTTGCTCCTTACGTTTAGATACTGTGGCCCCTGCATCCATGACCGTGTACTTGTGCTCCTTGCGCCGCCAGACTCGGGCGGAGACCAGTGGTCGTCGGGGGACTGCACGCGCACCGTCACGCTCACCCGGGAGGCGCCGCGGGCCATCGTGGCCAGCCCGGGCTTCCCGCGCGCCTACCCGGACGAGGCGCAGTGCGACACGGACATCACGGCACCGCCCGGCTACCGGCTCGTGCTCGACTTCGAGGAGTTCGTCATGGAGAAGGAGCCCTAGTAAGTGGAGTGAGAGCGCCCGCGGGCCGCCGGCTAGGCAGCCCGGCGCACGCGCGCGCGCCGCGGGCGAGCCCGTCTCGAGCTGATCGGGCGCCCTGTTCTCACAGCTGCAGCTACGACCACCTGACCATCCGCGAGGACGACTTTGAGGACGTCTCCAACTCGGCGGACCACTCCCTCCACCCGGGCCTAGGGCCGCCCGCTCGGCCGGCGCCCACGGCACCCCAGGGCGCCCACCAGGGTCGGTCGTCCCAGCCCGCACACCCCAACCTGCCTGCCGCTGGCCGCAACGGGCTGGCGCACCCCAACCAGACGGGCGTGGCCGGCCGCCAGGAGACGGCGCACCTGGGCCTGGAGGGCCACGTCATCATGGGCAAGGGCCACCACCGGTACTGCGGGGACTGGAGCGAGAAGCTCAAGCTGCTGAGGTTTGTTTTTCTCTCGCGTTTGTCCGGATTGTAGTTATTTCCGTCTGTGCTATCCGGTTCGAGCCCTCGCCTCTCTTTTTTTCCCCTCCCCAAGGTACACGAGCCGCGGTCCCCGTCTGCACCTTCGATTCGTCTCCGACTACAGCCACCATTTCGGGGGCTTCAAAGCGCGGGTTTCGGCCGAGACAGGTGAGTTTTACTCTCCAGCAGAACTCTGCGCGAGAAATTTATCAACAAAGTCAATGTTTTGCCTGCAGCATGCAGTTCTTGTGTACGTGTGTTTGCATTGTTTATACTTTTTTTGGTGACGGCATGTTTTATTTCTCTCCCTGTCCCAGACTTGTATAGTCGTAGGACTTCACATCTTTAGACGGTTATATACTGATCTTATCTCGTGAAGTATATTAGATAGTCCGTTTCAGGGTGCCACAATGATAGGGCACCAGTCGGCCTTCTCCCTGCCCCCACCCGTCCCCCATGAAGTGCTGTATTACTGATGGGGTTGTGTGTTGTGATAGCGGACCATTCCGATGCCCCGGGTGAGTAAAAGGGAGAGGTAACGATCGTGTACCCTGCGGGTGCACCTCCTAGCGCTGCGGCTCGCGCGCGTAGCTAGAACTAGAACTAGAGTAGCCCCGCTCAGACAGTACTTTGTGCGCGCGCGTCGTTAACCAAACTTCCGCCAGTGGCCTGGCTCTGGTTACTGATGTAGATTATCGTAGCAAAGTCGGACCAGCAAGGGCCGAGTAGTAGTACTCTGCCCTCCCAACCCGCCGTACCACCCCAGCCCACCCTCCGACCAGACTGTAGCCGACCCGACAAGTTGTAGACTTCTTTTACTGCGTTTTAGCTTGAGTGCGACACGTCCGTCCTGCTCCCCTCGCTGTGTGCCAGGCTTGGCGCTTCGCCTAGAGCTCGCTAGAGCCGCCCGCCCCCCGGCCCCGCTGCTCAGCGCCCTCACGGACCCTGTTTTTTGTTCCAGTGGCGATGGAGTGCTCGGACGGACGCCTGCACAGTTTCAACAGCTCGTGCTTCCTCGTGGTCAGCTTCCCGCAAGTCACCTGGCAGACGGCCAGGCAGGTGTGCCAGGGCCTCAAGGTAAGGCGCGACACGCGGAGGGATCTTGTTCTTGCCCACCAGAGCTCGACACGTGACTGTCTCTTGTTCGGCATAGGCGGAGCTGGCTGAGGTGTACAGCACGGCGGAGCAAGACTTCGTGGTGGAGCGCATCAGGCACTCGCCGGACTACACGACCACCAACACGTACTGGCTGGGCGGCATGCTGGGGCTGGAGGGCCGCTGGCAGTGGATCACGAGCCAGCCCATGTCCTTTACGGGCTGGATCCCGTCGCGCTCTTCGGTCCCGGACGTCCTGGAGCCGGGTGGCGACGGCGAGGATTCGCAGGACTCTCAAGACTCGCACCTGCCGTCCTCGTGCCTGGGCCTGCAGTGGCTGAGCTCGCCGTCGGTGGCGCTGCCGTCGGGCCTGTACTGGCGGCCGCGCAAGTGCTCCGCCGTGGGCGGCTACGTGTGCCGGCGGCAGCAGACGCCGCTGCTGTCTGCGGGCCAGTCGCTCAACGCCACCCTCACCGAGCCGGGGACCTTGTCCTCGCCCGGCTACCCGTCCGGCTACCCTGCCAACCTGGACTACCAGCTGCGGCTGGTGGGGCCGCCGCAGACACGCGTCGTGGTGCGCTTCGCCCGGGTGGACCTGGAGGCGCAGTCGCAGTGCCTGTACGACTTCATCGAGCTGGTGGACGGGCGCGCCGGCGGGCGCCAGGGCCGCCGCAAGATCATCTGCGGCCAGCACCACTCGGCCGTCATGGACCGCTTCGACTTCGTGTCGGCGTCCAACGAGGCGGTGCTGCGCTTCCATGCCGACTACTCCGTGTCCGGGGCCGGCTTCCTGGGCTCGTGGAGCGCCGTGGACCTGTCGGGCTGCCCGCAGCGCACCCTCAGCGCCCGAGAGGGCGAGTTCACCTCGCCGTTCTACCCGCACAAGCTGCTGCCGGACCTCCACTGCACCACCATCGTGCGCGCGCCCGCAGGTGCGTGGCCGTCGTGGCGACCGCGTGCGGCGGTTCACGTGCAGGGTGCGGCTGCTAACATTTGCCCTTCTTGTCCAGGTCGACGCGTGTGGCTCGAGTTCACCGACGTAGACCTGACGGATGACGCGGCAGTCTGGGTGGACCTGGGTGCCGGCCGCAAGGTGGTCCCGACCGCGTCGCCCCTCTCCGGCGGCGTGCTCCTGTCGTCTGGGGAGCGTCTCGACGTGGTCCTCAACACGGAGGGGTTGCCGCGGGGCCGGGGCTTCCGCGCCGTGTACCGCGCCGTGTCCGATGACCCCGAGGAGGTGGTGGTGCAGGTGCAGGCCAACAGCACCCTAGTCCCAATCCGGCACCTGAACTTCCCGGCGCCACCGCCTGTGCACGTCAACTTTGTGCAGCGGTTCATCGCGCCCCTGGGCACGCGCCTGCAGCTGCAGGTAGGTGTCGGTGGCCACTCTGCGAGCCTCACACCACACCAGCCAGCACCGTCCTCCTCTGACCTGACCCTCGTCCTCCCGCAGCTGTACGGCGTGACGCTGGCGCGCAGCGCGGGGGCCGCCTGCCCGGGCGGGGCGGGCCACCTGGAGGTGCGCGACTCGTACGCCGACACCAACGGCTCGACGTGGATCCTCTGCGAGGCCCCGGACGCCAGCACGGCGCCCTTCGTCATCACGTCCTACCTCAACACCCTGCAGCTGTGGCAGCGCGGCGGTGACGCGGGGGTCACGCTCAACGCCACCATCCAGCCCATCCACGGTGAGACGGAGGCGGAGGAGAAAAGGGGGGGGCCCTGCTCACGATTCGGCAGGTACGCGATGCTCACGACGGGTTTTTGCTCTCTTTCCAGACGAGGACTACCGCGTCAAGCTGGTCCGCATGAGCAACGCGACCTGGAGCGTGGAGTCGTGCTCACCCAATCCGTGCCAGAACGACGGCAAGTGCCTGGTGCGGGACCGGCGCCGCGTGTGCGAGTGCAAGGGCCACTTCACCGGGCTGCTGTGCGGACTCACCGACTGCGACCTGGAGCCGTGCGTCTGGGGCAAGTGCATCCTCACGCCCGGCTCCTTTCGCTGCCAGTGCGCGCCGCACTACAAGGTGCGTTTCCTCTCTGAGCTCCTCTACCGTCACCCCATCAGGGTTGGCATACTAAATTAAATTAAATTTTATTGTGTGAAAATTATTGCCCTTTTTGGGTGCTTAATTCTGAAGGGCAAAATTCCGGGGCAAAATATCTTATTGTGCAAAACTAAATTCAGTATTAAACACTGTGTCTTAATAGTGCGAAATACCAAATTATTTTGCCCTTGAAGTGTGAAACTTTATTAAATTAAATCGCACAGTCAAGGGCAAAATATGGAATTAAATTAAATAAAATAGTCTAAAAGAAGCCGATATTCGCCGATCGGTGTTTTAGACAGCTGGTGTGTTGCACACGCATACCGCATACGCTGCAGGCACTCGGCAAGATCTGGACGAGGGGCCAACCGCGGGTTTAGGTGGAAGCCCAGTGGGTCCGACACCCCCCCCCCCTCCCCCCGTGAGAAAAGGATAGCCTGAATGCACTATGGACTTCGCCTGGATCGTAGGTAGCTAAATTGCAGCTAAAATTCAGTCCGGTTCGCAACCGGGCGCGATCGCCGTGTCCAGAGGTCTGCATCGGTCGGTCCACCTGTTTAGTGTTTTCGATCTGGCCGGACGGGTA